GAATAAGGGAATTGAAACTTTTGAAGAAGACGTTTTTTTGGCTTATTTCGCTGAAATTTCCAAAACATGCAAGCCAAACACTCTTTGGTCCAGTACTCAATGTTAGAAAGTGTAATTAAACTCAAAAAAGACGTCGATTTAAGCAAGTTTTTCAAGGTCACGGCATATAATATATAAAAAAAACAAAACATTGGATTTAGACCAAAAAAGGCAAAAAATTTCTCAAAAGAAGAAATTTTTAAGTTTATAAATGAAGCGCCTGACAAAATTTATCTTCATATAAAAGTCGCTACGATTTTTGGTTTGGCGGGCGCATGTAGGCGAGAGGAATTAACAAAGATGTCTTTAGATCATATTGATGACAAAGGAAATATTTTATTGATAAATATCCCAGACACAAAAAACCAGTCTTTTAGAAGCTTTACGATTTCTGAGGAAGCTGAAAATGGAAAATTGCTCAATTTGTTCAGAAAGTATGTGAGTTTAAGAAAGCCTGAAAGCACACATAAGCGATTTTTCGGGAAATATAAACAAGGAACTTGCACTGTACAATGTATCGGAATAAACACCTTCGGAAAAATGCCATCACATACCATACTATTACATTATCATCAACACAGCTCGAATAGTTTTAAATTTTTTTTTTTTTTAATATATACAGTAGAGCGTCGATAATCCGTATTAATTGTGATCGGACCCTGTCCAGATTATCAAAATGTCCGAATTTTTGAAAAGAACTAAAAAAAAGTCGTTTGAGTTCATAATAAAAATAAAACTTGCTAAAACCGTAAATAATTCACTTTTGTGGTCAAATAATTGAGCATTAATATGAACTGATAAAGTATTTTAATTAAATAAAAAACATACATTTACAGAATACGGTACGGTTTATACATTTTGTAGCGGTTAAGACGACCCCGTTCAGCCTGTCGTATCAACTTTTTTTCACCGGAATTAAATCCACATTTTTGACGTCCGAATTATCGACGCTCTACTGTATTTATTTATTTTACTCTGCCGGAGCAGCGCTGCTTTTTATTTAAAGCTTTCTATACAGTTTTTGTTTGAGATACCTTTCATACCTTTCTAGACATTACAATAGCTTCGGCATTAATTATTCTTGTCCTGTTTAAATCGTTCTTAACTAACTGAACCCATTTCGATCTTGTTTACCCTGTCTTCTTCTTCTGATCATCTAATAGGTCATTATTATTTTAGTTATTACTCTTCTTCCTCTCGGCTCTCTTTCTCTAAACATTTTGCTTTGAGTAAGAAGGTCTGCTGCTCTAATTATCTTTTTGTTCGTAATTATTAGTTTCCCCTCTTCTTTCTTTGTAATTTTGTCAAGTTTATTACTGACTACCCTTACTTCTGCTTAAATGGGACTGTGATGGCCATACATCCCAAAACATCGACAGAAGATGGACTAAAAAGTTGGTTGATAAATAAAGTAGTTAGCAGTTAGCAGCAATTTGATCCACGTCCGTATTCACAAGGCATTTTTAAATAGTTACCTATGTGTAAAGTCAACGTCAATTCAGTGAAAAAGTGAAGTTGGACGATGGCATGATTTTTCAATCACACTTTAAATCGTTACGTTGATTAGTAAAATAGGAATCAATATATAAAACGTTTATTTAATCAACATAACTACTTTACAGGTGTAAAGGAAACGTACATTTAAAATGATAAAATAAAGTTAACTTTACAAAACGTAATAAAAGAAAAAAACATCAACTAGTTAGCAAGTACTCACGCAGTTTTCTTTAAAATACTGTTGGATTTGAACAAAGAGTTTTCTTTAAAATATTGTTGGATTTGAACAAAGATATATGATGTCTATGGGTTTGAAGATTCTTTAATATCTTTAGGCAAATAATTAAAAGTCTGTACTGAAATCTTAAAACAAAAACTGAATTTTGTGTACATTTTTGCGTTGCCTTATGAAATTTTGCTTGTTCCTTGTAGTGCAAATTATTACTGTAGCCCATTTGCTGAGATGTGCAGACCAGAGCGCCTCAAAGAGTTAATTTTAAATTTAATGTGTTTGATGACGTTATTAGCATGGTCCTTAGTTTGCAAATTTGTGTCAAGCATAATTCTTAGATATTGTATTTTTTCGTCTCTATAAAGCTTTATTTCATCCACAGAAATACTCGATAAATTTCCACTACTCTCAATTAACATCCATTTTGTCTTTGTTACTGTTTCCCAGCGCCACTTTAGGAACAGCACTGTTAGTTAGAACCCAACAGTGAATGGTCGAGTGGGGAATCCTACCAAGGCATCAGAATTAATTTTAAATAATTAAATTAAATAAAAAATCCCAGCCAACGGTGGGATTCGAACTTGTGACCCTTGGATCCGCAGACAGAGACTCTACCACTGAGACACAAACCTCCTAAGTAATTTAATTAAAACAAGTTTTAGTGATTACATAGATAAAATAGATTAGATCAGCAAATAAGTGTATTGAGCAATTGAGCATCTTTCGACTCCATAAGCAATGTTATTAATATAAATTAAGCACAGTAGCGGACCCAGAACCCTCCAGAACACCCCTATATTATTCTCTATAGTATCCGAAACACAATTACTTACATTACCTCAAATCAATAGAAAAACATGTAAGTAAAGAATGTTAATATTAAAACAACAATTATTGCTGACCTTTATTTTACATTTATTATAATGACATTTGTCTTTAAAGTTTTATATGAGGGCAAATTTTAAGTTGTTTTTTGATTTAATCTATCAATATTCGAAATGGTAGAAATAGAGATAATTATTTTGTCTGGTAGAGGACGCAAAAGGATGGGTGATGAAGATTATGAATTATTTGTCTGTATTTATTAGTAGAAATATCATATTCCTATTAAAAATTCTCATTATAATTCCTTTATTACATTATAAGCACTGATATATTCGTATATGTTATAGAAGACTAATCATTTTAATAATCATAATTAATAACCGACCTAATTTTACAAATTTTTAAACAATAACGCTGTTAAAAATTGGATTATTCCAATCAAAGTCGAATCAGTCACGATTTTTATTTTATTTTATAATAATGATACACCCATATTAGATTATGTCAACATTCAAGGTTTCTAATGAAATAAGATATCAATAAAAATTTTGTTTGGTACAGTGTGGATGTGGGGCGGTATATTTAATTTATCGTTTCATTCCCAACCTGTAACGGATCTATGCTACAAAATAATTTATGCTCGTCTTTTGTTTATTGAAAATTTATACAACACGAATGGTGTTAATTTATTTGATTTCAATATGGGATGAATATTCATGTTTATATGATTATAGATTTCATTAATAGAAATTCAATTTGTACTTTTTTTCAAACTATCCTTGTTCTCTACCTCCAACAAAATTTCTATTACCCTGTTATTGGATACTTTTCCATTACAGCAACATTTTACCAGAACGCTTGTTTAGAGTGTGTCTAGTAAGAATGTTTTGCACACAACATTATGAAGTAAAGGATTATCTATTATTTTAGATAAATTAAGCGAAAAGGAAACTAAATTTATCTGCTTCATTATTGGAAATGTTTATGTCCTAAGCTGATTTTCACAAATGTTTAATATGAGCGGCATTTGACCTGAGATTACCAACACTTAACTTTTCTTCAAAATTGTATAAACAAATTAAATTCTTGTTGAATTACACTTTAATACTTTTCAGTCCTGTTCTAAATACAAAATAATTTCAATAATCCCACATCCAGAAATCCGCAGCCATAAGATCAGGCGATCTTGGTTGGAATGTTTTTACCAAATAAGTATCTTTTTAAAACACGATTAAAAAAAACATGGTTAAGTTTTGACACTTGATTTAATAGTAATCATAACACCTTTGTTTCCGTGATATACAATAAAATTAGATACTTTTTTAAATAATAATTCATCTGTTATTCTTTTAAAAAGTTACCTTTAATTTTCCACAAGATCATTTGTCTTTTTGTCATTTTATTGATTCTCAACCAATTTAATATATAAGAGCCTAATAAATATTCGACTATTTTGTCATCAAATATTAATGACAACATTGTATCGAAACAAATAAAACGATAATGTTAGAAACATTTTCAAGTAGGTTAAAGTGCAGAAAACTTCGTTAAATTTTATTAAATTTGTAGCTAATTATTCGTAATTTGGTGGCAAACATACCGTAATACTTGTTATTAGTAATGATTTCTTACAGCAGCTATTTTCATTTAAAACAGAAAGGTTCAGGTAGTCAAGAGCTGGTGGGACCGAATTTACCTACCGAAAAGGGTGTTTAAATTCACATATTTTGATCATGACTTGTAGGGACCAACATTACTTACCCCCGTCATTGGTGTCCATGCGACTTCAGATTTCAGAATTGTTAAAATAAAGAACAGACGCCTAATAATTTTTCTATTTTACTCTGCCTACAATACAGAGAGAAATAAGATTAATTGGGAAATAGAAGCAGATATTAAAGAACAAAATGTAATTTCTCTGAATTTATTGAAACACATCACGAGGCATACGAAAAAATAAAAATTTAAATAATTGAAGACAAAGATGGATAAAGGTGTCATGTCACAGAAAGATTATTTAGAGAAAAACAAGTTTAAAGTTTTACAATTGCATTATGATATATATGGCTTATGATAGGCTTACCATACGTCCCGATTTGCCCAGGACAGTCCCGATTTCAAAGGTATGTCCCGGTGTCCCGACCGGTTGATGGGTTTGCCCCGGTTTACAATTAATTATTATGGTGCAAACCACACTAATTGTTGACGCAACTTGGCAACAATGTGTGACCTTACAATAATTAGATGCGTCGCTTTGCTTTTAGTGTTTCAGTTCAGTCATTTCACAGATGTGCGTGAGTCGACTAGGACACCTCGTCTCTCTAAACACGTACCTGCTGCAGCCTGCATCTTGAATGTTCTTCGCGCAATTACTTGTAAATCTCTACAGTTCCGGTACTAGTAAGTGATGCGAAATAATGTTATTACCGCTGAACTTCAACAAGACTTCCCCTTTTTTAAAAATGTCGCTGGATCCTTAAATCGCGTGAAATTCAAGAAGTGTACAGCCGAGTTTTCCGTAAGTCATGGTGGCCGAAGTGATGTAAATGATCATTTAAAAACTGCCAAACATAGATCAAGTGAGGAAGCTGCTGTAAGTTCATCTAAAATCACCCAATTTTTCAAAAATTATGACGCAGGAGACACAGAGCTGGTAGTAGCTGCTAAAGAAGCAACATTCGCTTTTCATACTGCCAAATATGATTTAAGTTTCAAAACGTCGGATTGTACCTCAAAATTATTGTCAACTTTTTTTGAGCGTAACTTTAGTTTGGCTAGGACAAAATGCGAGGCGATAATTTTTAACGTTATTGCTCCTATGGCCATATAGGAATTAAACGGGCATTTAAAAAGCACACATTTTGTTACCATTATAACAGACACCTCCAAAAGGAAAGAAAAGAAACTTGCACCTGTTGTTGTACGATATTTTGTCCCAAACGAAGGAGTACACGTCAAACTTCTCGACTTCCAGTCAATTGTTGGAGAAACGTCCCAAATTTTAAGTGATCATCTGGTCGCAGTTATTAGAAAATTTAATATTTCGGAAAAGACCGTTGGCTATTGTGGAGACAACTGTAATATGAACTTCGGTGCTGACTATGCAAGGGAAATCGGACGGGAAATAATAGGAATAGGTTGCGGGGCGCATATTGTACACAACTGTTTACAAAATGCTGTGGATGTGTTACCAATTGATTTAGAAAGCCTTGTCGTGAAAATTTACAAATATGTTCACATTTATACCGTACGGGTTACTCAATTGCAAGAATTTTGCACATTAGTAAATGTTGAATACAAAAAACTACTGCAACACGGAAGTACTCGATTTCTTTCACTTTTGCCAGCGGTTGAGAGAATATTGCAAATTTTTGATGGATTGAAATCATATTTCCTTTCTCAGAGCAATGCCCACTTGCAATAAAAAAGTTCTTTGACGACGAACGGGGGGAATTGTACTTATGGTTTGTGCATGGTCAATTGCAATTGTTTAATCAGACAATTCTTAATATGGAGAAATCGGATGTTAGTGCCACAGACGTCGCAATGCAAATGATAAGGCTAAAGACAAACCTGCAAGACAGATTAGAAAACAAATTTATCCCGCATGGTGCCAAGCAAATACTGAAGAAATTAGAGGGCGATCTAAGAGTAAATATAAATGAGTTCAATGAAGAGATTTGCGGTTTTTACAGAAGAGCCATTCAATATTTGGAGTTGTGAAAGTATAGTTTCGGGGGAGCGGAACACTATGACTGGATATGTCTAAAACAAGAAGTAATGTGGGCAGAAATTGAAGCAGGTACAGAAGAAATAAATCATCTTTTTCATCCTCTTCAAAAAATTAATATAGACAGTCTTTTCGACGAACTGAGCCTGGCAAAGAGATTCTTCAGAAGTAAACAAGATGACTGGAATGCTAGTGCACATCCAATAAATTTTGAAGAAAAGTGGATTCAGCTTTTCCAGCATTTTAAATGAACAAATAGAGATTTCTAATTTGTCGAAAATTATAGAATTTATCTTTTGTCTACCTGGGACCTCTACTTCTGTTGAAAGAATCTTTTCCATGATGAAACACATTTAATCATCAGATGATCGAGGGCGTTTAGATGAAAATATTGTCAGAGCTTTATTAAGATGCAAAATTAACCTGAACATGACATGCACAGAATTTTACGATAAAATTAAAAACAATCATGTTTTCTTAAGAAAAAATCATTCTTCGGACAAATATACATGAAACTACAAAGATAACCCATAAATATAAATAGTTAGGTGTTTTTGAGTGGTGAGTGCAATACAAAAACTATATTTTGTATTAGTTTTTAGCGATTTAAGATAACGTTTATTTTTGTATTTATGTTTGCTTGCAGAATAAACGCAGTTTTGTTATTATTATTAATTTTATTACGATTCATAATGTGTCCCGGTTTCGTATCCTAGAAATATGGTAAGCCTAGCTCATGATATATATTGATATCTGATGAACAGCCGTTATTTATCAAAATTGAAATCAGAACTATCACAAACAGAAAATATAGTATATTTGAAGTATGTTAGGCCATAAAAATCATTTTTTCAAAAAATGTGACATAACACCTTTATCCACTTTATCTTCAATTATTTTTTGGACATTTTCAGACATGTGAACGGAAAAATTTTTGCTAAGGCACTTATAATAATGTTTTAACAGAGTCTCTAGCTACACGCTAACTTGTACGCAATTCAAAAAGTTATATACACGCAAAACGTCTTGACAGAGTAGGTGAGCTGTGTGCACGCCGTTGGTGTTTACGCCGATCGGCGTAGCTAGGCATGTATTAAAATTTTTTTGTGGCGGCGAAGCCCCCACCCTAAGAGAAGTCGTTGCTTCGTTTTCTTGTTGTTACGGCATTATTATTATTTGTTCATGTACGTGAAATTTGCCTCTAAGGTTTATAAAATACTACTGCTAGTCACGGCGTAAATAAAAACAAACAAGACGCATTCACACAAACACTTCTCACCACAGCAATATGACGTTTCGCGTGTACATAACTGTTTGATTTGTGTACACTTTAGCGTGTACCTAGCAACAGCGTAAAGTTTTCTATGGATTATTAAAAAAGTACTGTTTATTGAGAAAGAAAGGCAAGTTGACTCATAAAAATAGACTTTGGTTAAGCTTACAACCTAGTGAAAACGTTGTTTTGATCCTTATTTACCAGTCCAAGTCAGCAGAAAATATTTTAAAGACAGTACACTGACAAAATAACCCACTTTTTTGAAAATTAAATAACTTTAATAAACAATATAAACACACTGCAAGTCGTTGAGAATAAATAATTATTAATGATGTTCTAATCATGGTTCTATTTGTCAATAAAATGGTTTATAAGCATCTAACAATACAAGAAAGCTATATTGGTTGCATAAATGTCAGTAATGTTTTTCCAAAACTTAATTTTAATAAAATTTTAGTTAAAATTAGAAAATATAATAATATTGCGGGACCTCACTCGTTACATAAAATAAAGCATTTCGCAACTGGTTTCATAAATATCTATTATAGTTTAAAACGTCTAAACGAGATTGTATCTGTTTTTGTAGGTTCAATTATCCCTTCACGTGTAACACGTAACTCAATAAGTTTCCTATTTAATAAATTATATTAAAAACAAACCATGCGATGTATAGCCCCGTTATCACACTACTAAATACGCAACTGCTTATACCAATCAACATTAATTGCGTCACCTATATCGGCTTAGATCTGTATTAATTTCCTCTGCAAAACCAGAAGATAGCAGTCACAATTCAACAAAAAAGGCGCAGTCATTCACGGAATTTTTAAATCATGGAATATATTTGCGATATATGCAAAACGATGTCGGGATCAGGATAAATTTAAATAGCTCAAATTAATACTGCTGGATTTTTTGTTGCACGCACGTTGCGAGCGCATCTGGACTCTGCAGTCTTCGGTTTACTGCGATACAGATCTTGCATAATATTTGCATATTCATTTTGATATAACTGAACTGATAATTTTTTGTTAGTGGATTATTAAACTATTATATGTATAGTTTGACTCATTAATTACTAACAGAAGTCGAATACGGAGAGCAAACTAGAATATGGCTAAATTTATATCTCGTAATAAGATACTTGTAGGTAACTATATTATGGAGGTACTGACTAGGCCTCATTTTTTATACGTGAAGACATTACAGCATTATAGTTGTTAATAAGCATTTGTTTCAATTTTTTGCTCAGCCAAATAATTTATAACCGCAATCAAGGCGTTGCATATTTAAAGAAATAAAAATCTAAATAAAGATTTTACGTAAAAATGTATTATGTGCTGTGATTATAAGTTCAGAGATTGTTTTTGTTCGTGATTTTATTTCCTTTTTTTTTATCTAGTCTAGAATTCATAAATATAGAACCTAATTCTGATTTAACTATGTTGCTTTAGAATGGAGAGCATCGGTGAAAATTTTATCTTTTTTTTAATGAAATGCTCTTTTTCTCTCTCGTAACCATGGTAACTCGGGTATTGCTTGTATCCAGGCGTAATATATATTATGCATGTTAAATGGCATTTGTTGAAGATCGTATAAGATCATTAAGTTAATTGAAGATTCTTTATTAAAAATCCGACAGGTACCTTAATTAAACTAGTCACAACGAAATAGGTATCACTGAATTAATTATCTAAATCTTTTTAAATGTCCCCCGTATTTTCCATTAAAATTGAGTGAGAAAAAAAATATATACGCAAAAAATTAAAAGTATCTGATACATTCAGTTTTACTTTGTACACCAATTAAATTGTTTGTAACATTAACAATTGACTTGAAATTATGAATAACGATGTTCTTGGAACGCCTATTGTACAAAGAAGGCATCTAAGTGAAATTGAAGTAGCAAGAGCCGTTACACTATTACAAGAAGGACGTTCGCACAGATACGTAGCCCGCTTGCTTCAAACAAGTCAACCAACGATTCACCGAATGTGGAATAGATTTCAAGATATAGGTATTATCCATAGAAGACCATATACACCACAAGAAAGAATAACTACGCCCCGACAGGACCGCCAAATTGTACGATTATCCCTACAAAATAGGACAAGAACAGCTACATAGATAAGAAACTTACATTTTCAGGCCACTGGTAGACCCATATCACTAACAGACTGACTACACGTAACAGACTTCATGAAGCCCAACTACACTCAAGAAGTCAAGCTATTGTTCCTCATTTAACACCAGCTCATTGTAGAGCAAGAAGAAACTTTGCAGCAGAACATGTAAATTGGGATATTCATCAATGGAGCCATGTTCTTTTCACGGATGAATCAAGATTTTGCCTTTACTCCAACGATGGACGTGTGAGAGTCTATAGACACCGTGGAGAACGATTTTTGGATTGCAATGTAAGAGAAGTAAAAGCTTTTGGCGGTGGTTCTGTAATGGTTTGGGGAGGTATTCAATTGAACGGGCGTACACGCTTAAATGTTTTTGAAAATGGCACTCTAATAGCTAGGCGTTATATCGATGAGATATTAGCACCTATTGTCGTTCTAATGGCTTATCTAGAAGGCCCTAATTTTGTTTTACAACAAGATAATGCAAGGCCCCACACTGCAAGAATTGTTCAAAACTTTATTGAAGAGGAAAATCTTACTGTAATGGAGTCGCCAGCCAACAGCCCTGACTTAAACCCCATTGAACATCTTTGGAGCATCATGGGAAGAAGATTGCGGGATCAAGAACAGCCAAATAATCTACAGGTGTTAGCAGTACAACTTCAGGAGAAATGGAACAATATTCCTCAAGGAACGATTCGTCAACTAATAGAATCTATGCCTAAACGTTGTGTCGAAGTTTTAAGAGCCAGAAGAGGGCATACACATTATTAGTTTTTGTTTATTTTGAAATTTTTTGATATTAATAAACAAGTGTTGTTATCAATTTGCTTTATTTTTAACTTTATTAAATTTACGATAATATTTAAAAATTAAAACTTGCACACTCTTAAAGACACATACCTAAACTATAACACAAAATTTAAGATAAGTATCTCCTCTTTTTTTTAGAGTCATAAAAATTTAAATAAGTGATACCTATTTCGTTGTGACTAGATATACAGGAACGAAAAATAAACCGAGGACCATCTAAGCCAAATCTATTATTAATGAGCATAACTGGGAGTAAGGTAAAAGTGAGTGCACCAGGTAACATAAAGATAATGCTTTATTCAGGGGTCTTTGTTTCACGCGTTTCACTATTATACCTTTTTCAACTAATTGTAAAGTAGAGGGTCCGCCTTTAGATTTCCGTTCCTCTATATTGAGGTAGAAACAAATTTTTTTAAGGAAGACACTGATCTACCTACAATCTTCTTTGGATCGGGATCAAGAAGGTTTTATGAATATATAAAGAGATTGTTGATATTTGTTTATGTTATTATAAAAAATATCATTATACCTACAAAAAAGTACATAAAAATATATTAAAATGTTCTGCATTTTACTTTCATAATTCTTTTTTATAAGCTCAATAATTAACTTGCCTAAGTTTAGGTTGGATAATAATTTTAATTTTAGGTTTATTTATTTTTTGTCTAATATTTATGATAGTGTAAGAAGTGACGACATAGGAGGCATGTGATGAATAGACAACACTACTTAGTGACAGAGAGTAAGAGGAAGAATATAAGAGTGAAACAGATGT